TTGTAAAGAAGAAAGCTTTTAGTATTACTACGAGCATCTTAATTTATATTTTTTGGTACGTGATTATTCTTGTTTAGGATAATAATTATTTCTTAAAAATTAATGACTAGTAAATGAAATTTATTCACTAATAGTATAAAATTTTATTTTAATGTGTACAAATTTTCACTATAAATTTCAGTAACATTAACAATATTACATTTTAATAATATTAATCATAATAATTAATAATTAATAATTAATAATAATAATAACAGTACCGACCCTCCTAATCTAATACACAGCAAACAAATATACCATACAGAATGTCCAAATACACATAAATCACACAAAAAAAATTCGAAAAAAAAAAAATCGAAAACAAATTCGCAAAATACCTCAACTTCTGTCCAAGAAGCCGAGTGGAGTGACCAGAGTGGCTGGAGCGGCGTCAGGAGGGGCTGTAGGGAGTGATCGGAGGGGCTGGAGCGGCGTCAGGCGGGCTGGAGCGGCACTGCAAACAGAGGAGAGGAGAGGAGGAGGAGAAGAAAGAAAAAAGAAGAAAGAAGGAGAGCGTTTGGCATTTAAAGCCCTAAAATTTGCGACAGACTGGTCGGTCGCAAATTTCATTAATATGGGTGGCAATTTTTAACTCTACGACGTCGTTTTAATTCGCAATAAAATTGCGACCGATTTGCGACTCAAACTGTCGGTCACAAATATTCGGTCGCACATCTGTCGCAAATCGGTCGCAGAATTTATTCCTAATTTTGAACCGCGCAATTTTGCGACGGAATAACTTGTAGTCGCAAATCGGTCTCAAAATCGGTTGCAAATCCGTCGCATATTAGTCGCAAACTGAAAAGAAACTCGCGGCAATTTTTAGCGCTACAATTAGCGACTGTTTGTCCATAGGTCGCAAATCGGTCGCAAAATTGCAACCGATTGGAGTCGGTCGCAAAATTGCAACCGATTGGAGTCGGTCGCAATTCAGTGCTTTTTTTGTAGCGCCCGTGAAATCATAGAAAATGAATCAACTTGGCCTTGAAGTCTCCTCCTACCTAGCTATCCAAACTCATCCAAGATATCATTCATTCTTCTCTTCATTGAAAAGCCCTCTCCATTTCTATCTCTTTCCCTACCTTTTTCTTTATTTCTACCTAGTCTTTATTCCAATCATCTTTGTCACTGTCACTTGCTAACTCGATCATGGAGTTTGAAAATTTTTTCTTTTAATTTGTTTATTATTAACTGGGGAGAGAGAGAGAGATTTTAATCCACATGGAATCTTATTTAGCGCTCAATAAGTAAAAAAATATATGAATAAGTGGGATCCAGCTATCCCATAGAGATTTCTGACTGTCCAATTTTCAAACACATATAATTCTTAAAAAATTAAGAGTTTATTTACCAAATTTTTACTTTTTTCTATTCATAGACCAAAATAGAAAGTTTTACAAAATTTATATACCAAAATTGCAATTATCCCTTTTCAATTAAGTCAGTAATTAAGCTAACCGACTTTTGTAATTGGAACCTGCAATTCTCATTTATCTTATCAAATTATTCTTTACAAATTCCTAATATCTTTGGAATCAAATTAGATCGGCCAATCAAGTCGGTTAAAATGGAAACTAGTTCATTGTCTGATTCGGAAGTTGGCTCGATTTTTAGAAAAATCAAATTTTTTGAAAAACCGAATTGTACCATTGACAGAAATCAGATTTTTAATAAAAATATGTTGTTGTTGAATTAAGTAAAGGTGGTGTTATTTTTATATGTATTTGGTATGGTTTGTGTGTTTGATGAACTTAAATTTGAGCTTTCAATCTGAATTGAACAGTGTGATTTGAATTTATAAGTATTTAATTATTATATGATTTTAATTTTTGGTAATTATTAGTTCAAATTTTTCGATATTTATATATATTATTTTATTATACAAGATCAATATTTAACGAGAATGATATATATATGTTTATTATTGTGAAAATAATTTTGTTGCACTTAAAAAATGTATATATATCTACTTATATAAAAAAATTAAAAATTAAAAAAATTAGATTGAATACATAAATTGTCCCTTTTAACTTTCACTAAAAAGTTTTGTGGCACCCTCTATTTTCAAAGTAACCTTGTAACCCCTTGATTTTATTTTTTTGTAATCTATGCACACCTAAACAGAGTAAAAAGTATTAAGTAAATCACACACATGATGACGTGGATTAATAGTAATACAAATGACAATTATGTTTCTATGCTAGATGCCATCTCACCTCAGTCAGATCAACATCCCTTCTTTCTCAATTTCTTTTTCCTAAAACTTTCTTAGTACACCTACAACTCTATTTTCAAAATTTCTAATATTGCTCATTGTCAATTTTCTTTTTATTTTGTTTTTTTTTTTTCATTATCGTTCAATCGGTAGTCTCTAAGAAGAAGCAAAAAGTCAATGAGACATTGTGGATTTATGAACCCTTCGTTTTTTATTCATCGATAATCCAAAGAGAAAAAGAAAAGAAGTTGAGTTTAGTAGAAATTATTAATGGCAATTTGAATTAAGGAGACAGATATGGAGCAGACTGCTTGCTTGGATGAGTACAAAGGGCTTGTTTATAGCATGTTAGTTTTCGTTTAGATTCACTTTTTTCAGCCTTATTACTGTGTCTCCTTGTTTGATTTCATCTCTTCAATTGCGGTTAATAACTATTACTGTTTTGTTTTTGCCATTTTCCCTTTGTAAATACATGGGTTTGAGTTTTTGAATAAATTCAAATTTCTGAGTATATATCAAATTTTGAGTATATTGGGTATATCGGATCTCATCTTTTGACATCCTTCCATTTTTAATATTTTCTCAAAAATTAACTCTGGTATCTTTAATATTGATAATTACTTTGAAGGTGGACTTTGATTTCTCTTCTGCTGACGATGAACACGAGTAGCTTACCTGACGAAGCCCAAACCTCGTCCACTTTATATGCTATACATAAGCTCAATTAACCTAACCTCTTTTCTTTTGACCAACTTTGGTGACATGGCACATAAATTTTTTACCAACTTTGATGATATGACATATAGTAATACAAATCCCAATCCCATTATTGGAAGCAATTCTTGTTGCAGTCTTGAGATTTATCGCTTTTTGAAACTTTCTTGCTATTTTGCTCGTTTCCAGGGATTGATTTACATTTGATCGTCTCCATTGGAAGAATTTTTAGATGATGGGTTTGGTTTCGGTCATAAAAAAAATGGAAAATTCAGTGATTGTTGTGTTAAGAGGTTTTAAGAAAGAAGAGATTTTGGATAGAAAGTGACTGTTATGTGATTAGAAAAACAAAAAAGCAGACAAACTTTGACTAACAAATTGGGGCCGGAGATGGAGGCGAGCTAAAGAAGAGAGATGAAAATAAAAAATGGATTAAAAAAAAGTTGGATTTAAAGCGCGGGAAAAGAAAAAAGAAAAAAGAAGAATATAGTTTTTTCATTCTTTTTCATTTAAGACGGTGGAATAAACAAATAAAATTAAATAATTTTTGTTTCTTTTCCATTTCTTGGACGTAAGATTTTTAGGTCTATGTGCATAAATATAACTAATGTCCTAATCCTATATATTCTTTCCACCGTGTTTGGATGGAGGGAAAAAAAAAGAAAGAAAGAAAATGACAAATTAATTTGTTTTTCTAATTCAGAGGGAAATAGAAAAAGTATAAGAATAAATTAATAAAAGAAAGTGTTATATTTCTGTTCTGACTGTTTTTTATTAAAAAGATTTAAAATTAGCGAGTTAATCTATTTCTTGGTAATAATTATAACTAAATTTTTTACCAACTATGAAGAATTGGAATCGGGCAAAATCAAAATCAGAACCGAAGTCTATCGTCTGGTTTCGGTTTCAACTTTTGAGAAACTGTAAACCAGTGGTTTTAAAAACTGGTCAGAACTGACTGGAATTAGCGATATTTTGAACCGGTTAGAATCGGCGATTCTATCCAATTCCAACAAATTTTTTTAGTTTTTAAAATATTTTTTTGAAATTCCCAAATTAAACCTCCTAACAATTATATAACATCAAGTTTTAATGGTATTTGTGGAAAGTTAATTTTTTAAATTTACTATAAATACCTATTTTCGTTCTAAAAAAATTAAGTTCAAGGCTTTTTCTAAAAAAAAAAAAAATTCAAGCCTTTTTTTAAAACAAATAAATTAAGTTAAACTTTTTATTAATTTTTTTCTTAAAATTTTTTCTAAAAATTATTTCATAAATATTTAAATTTTAAATTTTCAAAAAAGAAATATTCTCTAATTTTTTATTGGCGAACCTCAATAGAGTTACGATTATATAATTCCCTCACCAACCTTTGGCACGTCCAGAATTTTATCAATTTGCATAGGTTGGTCAAATTAAATGAACCAGCCCCACCGACCATAAAAATAAGTAATAATGGGTATAGTTGATAATATTTTATTATTATTATTATTATTATTCAAATTTGCATAGGTTGGTCAAAAAATGAACCAGCCCCACCGACCATAAAAATAAGTAATAATGGGTATAGTTGATAATATTTTATTATTATTATTATTATTATTAAAGACTTTTGGTTTGTAGTTGGTATCACTTCTTTGTATGTTATGGTCTGACTTTTGTACGTCATAAACTTTTCCATTTAATTTCCATAAATTCAAATGCTGCTCAATTCAAAACTTAAGAGGTTGAAGAAGAATAATTTGGAGGAGCCTAATTAAACTTCCAAAAAGTAAGGTTTTTTTTTATTTTATTTCATTTCAAGGTTATTATTTCTTTCAAATTGATTGCATTTGGAATAATTCATTGTTTGTCATTTTCTATACTGTCTTGACAGATTATCCATGGCCGTCAATTATATAGTTCCTGAATTTTTAGCTGACAATAATTATCAAAACTGGAGTGCTTGCATTAAGAACTATTTGATAGCGACCGATCTATGGGATGTTATTGAAGAAACCAATGAACCTATAATTATCAAAACTGGAGTGCTTGCATTAAGAACTATTTGATAGCGACCGATCTATGGGATGTTATTGAAGAAACCAATGAACCTCCAAGTCGAGAAGAGGCTGAAGCTGAATTTAAAGCTTGGAGGAAAAAGAATGCAGCTGCTTTACATGCCATTCAAATTTCTTGCACGTTCGAAAAACTTTCTCAGATCGGAGAAACCGACTCTGCTAAAGTTTGTTGGGAGACTTTGGCAAAAATGCACGAAAAAAAGGAATCAGTAAATCAAGATCCTGCAGGTAATTGAATTCTTATATATATACATATATATAGTTAAAACACGTCTATAACATAAATTATGATAAGCTATATATATTTTAAAGAGAGCTTGTATTTTTCATTCAATGAAATTTGGAGCTTTTACAAAAACACAGAACTCAAAAATTCTGTACGGGTAGAGAAAATATTTTTTATATGTCATTTGGACATGCTAACTTGCAAGGTAAGTCATAAGGTTATATTTTTTTTTTTCTTTTTTAAATTTTTTTAAGCTTTTAGAAAATCCTTTTTCCCCCTAAAATGCAATGTAATTTTCTAAGATTTTTTTTTTTTTTTGCATAACACTAAATTAATATGAAATATTTCTATTGATTGCAAGTGAAAGTGGAATATTAAAACATGATTTTAATATAATAGTAGGGTATTTGAAATTATTTTAAACATAATAAATGACATTTTAAGATAAGTATTTTATAAAAATATACAAACGATCTTAATACATATTAAAAAAATTTATAGTATTGTTCATATAATTTATGATTAATTCTAATATGAAACTCAGTTTTATATTTTAAGCAATTGGTTATGTCTTTTATGCATTTAACAATAAAATTTTAAAAAGTACAAATATTAAATTTTAAAATTAAAAATTAAGGTGAGCACTATAAATTTGATTATTAATCATTATATTTTAAATTTGTATTCAGATAATACAATTATTATTGATGTGTTCGGTTAATCCTGTTATTATTACTGTTTTGAAATCTAATAGATGTTAAACTTGTTTTTTATATAAAGTCAAACTTATAATGAATAATTTTAAAAATTAAGCTTTGAATTGTTTTTTGTAGATCACAAATAAAATTCAAATTAAAACAATTACAATTACATAAATTATAAAATAATTTTAGTAAAAAAAGTTGAGTTATGGATACATTATAATTAATAATGTAGGAGTATATAAGAATTATATTATGATCAACAACACAATAAATTTAAAATATTATTTACGTAATGATCTTATACTGATCTTATACTGTAAATATATATTTTTATTTCATTTTAGAAGGTAAATATTAGATCAATAATTTTCTAAATTTAATATTTTAATTATTTATGAAAAGGATATTTGATATTTTTTTTGTTGATGAACTTCTCGCATTAATATCTTTTAGATCGATAAAACAAGTTTTTTATTATAATAATAAATATAATAAAATAATACATGAATAAGGAATGACCGGTTTTATGAGTAGCAAGTCATTAGATATCAATAAATCTAAAGGCTACATTTAGGTAGTTTAAATTTAATGGAAGATTACTACTTTTATATTTATACAGACTTGCTCATTTCTGTATAATAGTCTTATTCTTGTTTGGTATTTGTAAAATTTCAAAACAAGAGTGTCTCTCCGTAATTCGTTTCTCTTAAATAGAAATAGAGTCTGTATTATTTTATTTTTCTTAAATAAGAATAATCTCAAATGGGAGTTCGTTTTTTCTCTCTCCATAAGTGTTTTTCCCTCGTATGAAACTAACTTTACAGAGATTTTCACTAAACTCTAGCATGCATGCCTTAACACTTGAGCTACTTCTTCAATATGGATATGCATATTTATATTAAGATAGAGAGAGAGAGAGAGAGAGAGAGAGAGGACTTACCGAACGAGAGAGAGAGAGAGAGAGAGAGAGGACTTACCGAACATTCTCACATGTATTTGCAAAACGAGATTCAAACATAAAAACAAAATAAATAAATAATACAAAAAGTCATAAAATTAAGTCAATATTGAAGTAGGAAATGCAGTATTTGCACGTAAGTATCTTAATGAAGTACGTCACTAATTAAAATTTGTAGGGAAGGAGGATCCATACAAAAGGTTTCTACCTCTGTGCCGAGCCATAGTAAAAGGGGATTTGAATGGTGTTAAGGGATTCCTTAAGTCTCATCCAGATGCAATAAACAAAAAGATAGCATTGGGTGGCTTGACAGCTCTTCATCTAGCGACTATAAGCGACAAAGTAAAGATTGTGAAAGAGCTCGTTAATTCAATGTCAGTCGAAGACTTACAAATACAGGATGATAGAAACACCACTGCTTTCTTCATTGCTGTTAGTAATGGATGCATGAGGACAGTGGATTTGCTACTCAAAAAGAACAATAATTTAGTTACTGAACCAGTAGTCGCAGAATTACCTGTCATCACTGCATGTGAAAAAGGCTTTAGAGAGCTAA